AAACCACTCGGTTCCTTCTTTAGCCCTTTTCAAATGACAAAGTAATGCACCCAGGATGGAGAGTGGGTTTGCAGTGACAGCCTCCCCCTCTGACTTTCATACATTTAGTTCAAAGTTAAGAGTAGTATCTAGTCATGTACAGTATATTGGCTTTTCTGTATAAGATCAAGAAGCAGTCTTTTCAAAGTTCCCAGTGACGGCGGTAGAACCTACCAATTCTACAAGAACAGGCTCTGTTCCAACCTTCTGATGAATGAAGTCAGTGCTAAATGCCACAATCCCACTTCTTCTGACCCATGTGCATTTAGCCTACACATTATGATTGTGTGAAAAGTGCTCCTATAACAGTGTCTTGGGTTTCTTCCTGGTATAAACACTTGTTTCCTTGTCATATGTCTCTGCACATTTCACGAACTAACTTCATTGAAAAAAGCTCAATCCAGTTTTAGTTTCTAATTTCTGGTGATATATTAAAGCCTGTTACTATTTGAGTTGCAGTCAGGAAATAGATTGTCTATTACATCATTCCTGTTGTGTTGACAATGGAGGTTATAGTGTGAATGATTTGTGATAGGCTGTTTTGTCTTCCAGAGATGATAAAAGATGTAGTGTATTTAGACATAATGATGCATAGTGAAAGCTTAACCATCTAAACTAATTTGCAGTTAAATACCTTCTAATGCAAACATTTCAAATATTTTACCTGGATATTACTTTGATGTTTTTATAGCTCTCTGTATGCATATTTTCTTATCTATACTACTGCTAATGAGATATACAGAATTACATGGTGCCAAACAATGGCAGGTTAACATTGATAATGGTTATTTCTCAAGATATCACGAAATAAATCTTGTTTCAGAAACCATCCAGTGAAATGGCATTCCACAATATCTTCTTTAAAAACTGTCAGGGTGATTAATATTAGTTGTGCAGTGCAAATAGATAGCAAGTCCTGCTTGTGCACAGGTTTCCACATATGAGAAGGTATTTTGTAGCTGTTTTCACTGAGATATTGGTGACAGCTTATCTAATAACTGAAAAATCCCACAATGGATTTATAAGGTTGAAAACTAGAAAATAATATGAAGTGAGACACTGGCCCAAATCTTGTTGCTTATCATAGTGAATTGCACTAGAGTATGCCCCCCAAATTAATGGGGGTTCAGTCACTCAACTGCTTTGTAAGTTCCACTGATTCAAATGGGCCTAGTCTAGCTATGACTTACTTTAGTGTAGTAAAGTCACAGTTAGACTAAGTATCTTTTAATTAATAGAACTTACAGAGCAGTTGACATATCAAATATCCATTAAGTCAGTGGACCTATTCTAGTGCAATTTACTATGCTAAGCAGCAGTATTTGGTCCACTATATAATCCATGCCCGAGACCTATAATGTTGTAAGAAAACATCACAAACTACAGTTGATAACAGTCTAGTTATTTTTTTTTGTAATTATACAGTGTTGCCTCGCTTAATGAGCGCACCGTTTAACGACGAATCCGCATAGCGACATTGTTTTTGCGACCGCCGACGAATCCGCATAGCGACGTTTTTGCGACCGGATTTTAATGGTAAAACATTGCATTGCGATGATCGGTAAGCGTTTTGCTTACCAATTTTCGCATTGCAATGTTTAACAGCTGATTGGCAGTTCCAAAATGGCCACCGGGTAAAGAAAATGGCCACCCGCTGTGTTTCTGCCCGGATTCCTCACTTACCGGGCAGCGAAAATGGCGGCCGCATGGAGGACTTCCGCATAGCGGTGAGTTTTGTGCCCATAAGAATGCATTAAACGTGTTTTAATGCGTTCTTATGGGTTTTTTTCCCCTGCATAGCAACGAATCCACATAGCGACGATTTTTTCGGAGTGGATTATCGTCGCTATGCGGGGTACCACTGCATATATGGTTTGTGAGTGCTGTTCCTTCTAAATGGATTACATACCAGTTACAGTGTTACATTTTAAGGTTATGAGTGTTGCCAATCGAACTTGAAATTCCATTAAATAAATGGGATGTTAGTTTGTGTTGATGTACGTTCCATTCATTTCAGGGATATACAGTATGCTGAATTTAGCCCTTTATGGGATCATTTGGAGAGCCAATGCGAGACGTGAAAGAGAACACTGGTCTGGATAGCAGTCTGTTTTCATGTTTGTAAGCAAAAAGATACAGTTATGCTTTCTTGTTCCCACAGTGGTGCCTCGACTTACAAACTAAATTGGTTCTGGAAGATGGTCACAACTCAAAATGGTTGTAAGTCAAAGTACCATTTACCATAGGAATGCATTGGAACATTCTGGGCAAAGGAAAAAATCACCAAAAAAACCAAAAACAAAACACTGCAAGACCCATTGGAAACACAGTTAATCCGTTCCAGCCGAAGGGAAAATAAAACAGAAAAGCAAACAAACCCTGCAAGACCCATCAGAAACACGATTGATCTCTTCCGGCCGAAGGAAACAAAAAACAAAAAGCAAACAAACCTTGCAAGACACATCAGAAATACAAAAAAATCATAAAGCAAACAGAGACTGCAAGACCCATCGGAAATGCAAAAAGAAAAACCCAAAAAGCAAGCAGAGACTGCAAGACCCATCAGAAATGCAAACAAAATATGACCACATACAATTAAAATATGCAAGACCCATCAGAAATGGGGGGTCCCAAAAAACAAACAAACCCTGCAAGACCGATCAAGCATAGAAACATAACCCCACCACGCCAGCCCAAACTCACGCTGCAAAACCCACCCAGAACAGCCAGTTTTTAAAAAGTAGAAAGCAGCACCTTACCAGGCAGTCCAAAGCCTCTTCTGAATGCACACTCTCTAACTGTTGGGGCGAAAGAGGTACAAAGAAGCAGCCTTTTCGCCACCAAAGGTTAGCAATTTGAATTCCCCGCCTTTTTCCCTGCATTTTTTCTGGTTGTAACTCGAAATGGTTGTAAGTCAGGACAGTTGTAAGTCGAGGCACCACTTTTTTTCTATTTAGAGAGGTGTGCTTAGGATAAGTTCAGAAACAAATTTCCCAGGTATGAAAATAGACGAGGGGGGGGGGGGAGGTTATTTGCTTGAAAATTTAGACAGCTACAGTCATTATAGAATTAAGTAACGTTGGGCTAAAGCAACCGGTGGCCTAAATTTGGTATCAGACAATGTAATATGTTTATACATGGTCTTTGTCATGACTAACATCAACTGCATATGATAGAGGCTAATAATAGGGCCGATTTCCAATGTGGTGTAGTTGATAGAGTGACAGACTAGGACTCTGGAGAACAGGGTTTGACTTGCCACTCAGTCATGAAAACTCACTGGGTAATGGAACTGGTAAAACCATTCCTAAAATATCTCAGTTATCTTGGAACCCCTATTAGGGTCACTAGAAGTTGGTTTTATAAGACAGCACAGAACACACATACAGTAATAATGTATGTTTATTAGAATCATAGAAAAGTGAAGTTGGAAGGGGCATACCAGGCCATCAAGTCCAACCCCCTGCTCAATGCAGGAATACAATCAAAGCATATCTGCCAGGTGATTATCTAAGTTTTTTCTTGAATGCCTCCATTGTTGGAGCACTTACCAACTCTCGAGGTAACTGGTTCCATTGTCAGACTGCTCTAACAGTTAGGAAGTTTTATTTAATTTATTTTATTTTATTTTATTTATTTATTTATTCGATTTATACCCCGCCCGCCCCCCAGACAGTTTTTCCTGATATTCAACCAAAATCTGGCTTCCTTTAACTTGAGCCCATTGTTGTGTGTCCTGCACTTTGGGATGACTGAAAACAGGTCTTGCCCCTCCTCTGTATGACAGCCTTTCAAATATTTGAAAAGTGCTATCGTATCACCCCTCAGACTTCTTTTCTCAGGCTAAACATGCTCATTTCTTTCAGCCTTTCCTCATAAGGTTTGGTTTCCAGCTGATCATCCTTGTCACCCTCTTCTGAGCTTGTTCCAATTTCTTAGCATCCTTCTTGAAGTGTGGTGTCTAGAATTGGACACAATACTCAAGGTGAGGCCTAACCAGTGCTGAATAGAGGGGGACTAGCACCTCGCAGGATCTGGAAACTGTACTTCTATTAATGCAGCCTAAAATAGCATTTGCCTTTTTTGTAGCCACATCACATTGTTGGCTCATATTTAGCTTGTGATTGATGACAATACCAAGATCCTTCTCACTTGTAGCTTTGCTGAGCCAGGTATCCCCCATCTTGTAACTGTGCAATTGGTTTCTTTTTCTGAGGTGCATTACTTTCCATTTACCCCTGTTGAGTTTCATTCTGTTGCTTTTGACCCAATTCTCCATCCTATCAACTGCTGCTGTCCATATTGGCATCTACTAAGAGCCAAGACTTGCAGCTCCAGTGCTATGTACCCTATTCCAGGTCAGGTTTCTACTGCCTCTTATGTGCTCACTTTCCATCAGTAGGTTAAACTGATGGATTTTCAGTGGCCTTTTAAAATTGAAGGTATCTGCTGCGTTCTACTTTGCTATGTTAGTGGCACTTGGGTTTATTGAAATGTATCTTATTGTTTCATTGTTGCATTTTACACTTGCCAGGCACTGTGCTACAAATTGTTACAGAAGTTAAAAAAAAAAGTAGTAATTATGTGCCTTTGAGTTAGTTCCCACTTATGGCGACACTCATAACGTTTTCTAGATGTGAAGCACCCAGAGGTTGCTTACCAAATCCTCGTCCTGGTGGTTCTCTGAGACCGTACAACTCTGCCAAGGCTGCATAGGTGGCAGGGTAGAGAGCCCCATCAACCACACACACTCCAGTTGATCTCATCTGGACTCATTGTACCTCCACTGTTTCAATGTTCACAGACCCTTGCAAAAAATCAGTCAGTGTTGGATCTTTGACAGATTTTGGATTTATTTAGAACTGTTATTTTTTTCCCTTCATAATATAATAAGTACCTGAACTTTATAAACTGACATTAAGAACTATTGACATTTGCAGTGTGCTTTTTTTTAATGACAGATTTATGCAAGAACACAAGGAGGCACCTGGTTCAAAAGGAGGTGAAGATAGTTGTCTGGTGATGGATCTGCTTTCCCAAGAAAAGAATGGTGAAACTTCAGAGTTGACAAGCATCAGCATCTTGCCCCATGAATCTGGTTATGATAAGGTACAGTCTGGACTTGACTCCCAGGTGCAAGAGGGTCTACTTTGTCCATTAACAACACTAGCAGAACTGGACAAGCCTACATCTTCCAAAGGCACTAGCCCTTCTGAAGAGGAGGATAGCAAACCTATGGGTGTTAACCTTAGCAACATCTCGGGAAGATTGGACAATCAGGAGAAACCTTTGCACATTGTTTGGCCGCATAGGTGGTAAGTGATTTCCTGCAGGATAGTACTTGAATTTGCTGCCAGTGTTATTTTGATCCCAGGCGATATAACAGCTTTTATTTTATTGATCACCACACCCATCTGATATGGTCGCTCTTAGATTTTCACTGTGCATAGAACAAAAATCGCAACAACAAAAGGAGAATATTGGCCCAGCCTGAAGACGAACAGCAATCCTTCCTAGTCTCAAAAAGGGAAACCGTATGGATGGGGATGAGAAGTATAGCAGTGGCATTGGAATCGTGTGTAAAATGCTAAGAACTCTGTTTCAAGGCATTTTAGTCCACTAAGGATGCTTAATATGCAGCGTTACTTCAATTATCTTAATTATCTTAATGTGACTGACTAGGTGTTAAAATTCAGGGCCGTAGTATGCTGTGTTGCGTTTTACTTTTTAAAATATACCTGTCCAGATTTTTAAAAACGTGCACATATGTAGTAGGTTCGGGGGGAGGGAGAGAGAGAGAGAGAGAATAGAATAGAATATGCCTAGAAGAAAACTGCTGCTTTTCAAGCTGTTGACACAAATACCTGATCACAAAATCTTCTCTAAACTGAGGAAAATCTACCATGCCACGTAATCACTGCAAATATATAAACTTTAGCTTGACTCCCACCATAAATTAGGATTTAAAGAGGTAAAATGTCCTGATAATCTTCCGGTATTGGACACAAACATTTTAATCTAGTTTTTATTCCTCACAGTTTGTTTAATCTGCATGTGGCCTGATTAGAGTTCACTTCATCCACAGATTAGAGACTGTTTATTTCAGAGATGCTGGGTCGATCAGTAGGTCAGATTTTTCTGAGAGCAACTGTTTGCAGGTGAAGCAATAAGTACACCACACCGACAGGGCAAATCGCCTTTGCAAAGGATTTGACTTCCAGCACATTAAAACTCCAGAAGCTCTCCCAGATGATCTGCAGCATCTGGTACCTAAAGGGATTTTCATCTTTGACTCTAAATGTCTGAACATAAAATTTAGGGATTGGAAGTCGATGTGGAATCTGTCTTTGGATTTGTTTAATCAAGTTCACACTTCTCATGTAGCCTTTCTCAGGGAGCTACATTTATTTTTAATCATATTTTATTGCTGCTCGTTCAGAATGCTGTTTTCTCATCGGTTATTTTACAATTTAATGTACTTGTGACAGATATGCATTTCATCTGTGCTTGTCATTAAGACTGTAAAGTTCACTAATCTGGTATGGTAGTTCTTTCTCTCCCCACCACCCACCCCCAATAGAAAGGTGTGTGCCCTATTTCCCTGAAAATAAAGCCTAACCTGAAAATAAGCTCTAGTATGGTTTTTCAGGATGCTCATAATATAAGCCCTACCCCAAAAATAAGCCCTAGTTAAGTGAAACCCTGCCCTCCACCATTGTGCAGCAACCAGAAGAAGATGACATGACTGTATTTGAATAAATGTAGATGGTTGTACATAAAAAAATAAAATATCCCCTGAAAATAAGCCCTAATATGTTTTTGGAGCAAAAATTAATATAAGACCCTGTCTTATTTTTGGGGAAACACAATATTAAGATAAGTGCTAGAAGTTTTATGATCCTAAGGTTGCCTTTAAAAGCATTTCTTGCTTCCTCTCGATCCCAAGTATCATGCAAAGAATCCAAGCTAAATTAAAAGGAAAGGACCCTCCCCACTCTTTATTCTTCATTTTGCATAAAGGAACACAAAGCTTAAGTTAATAAAAATGAACACTATTAAATTAAATAATTCTTCTTCTTTCCATGTATATTCGGGTTTGTTTTGTTTAATTTAATTTAATTGCCTAAAGTTAGTTGCTTAAAGAGATGCAGACTTGTGTTTGTGCACATGCTTATTGTTAAAGCTAAATTATTTTTAATTTGGAGAAGAGAGGGGAGGGAAAAAGCCACATCAGCAAGATCAAATGCCAAAATATAAAAGTAACACATTCATCCTTACGGGTAATATAGTAGAACATTGGTAACTTGGAGGTTGCCAGACACACAGCTAACATTAGGGCTAATTTTGAAAATCTAGCGTGCAGTCAATTTTACTGATGCCTGGGGACATACAAGGTAGAAGCTGACAAGAGAACTAATTTTGTTTGGGTTATTTACTGCTATGCATCATCCACGGGTTCCCGCCTGACACACGGCTATATGAAGGGGAATATTATCACATACTAAAAATTTATGTTGACATTCGATATTTGTTCAATATGTCAGCAGTATTACTTTCATAATCAAAAGAGTGAGGAAAAGAGAAGGAGGGGCAAAGGCACTTTATGCTCATATAGATATATCTTTTTAATAACAGTCTATAAGGTTAATATAGTTTACCTTTGAGAGTATACAATGAAAACAAGCAGGGTTAGCAGGGAAGATGACAGAAAGCATCAACCCGAGTTGTTTGTTTGCCATTACCTAAGCGAGCCATGTCAGCTCTCTGGCCCGCGTCTGATAGCTATTTGTTGTACAGAGAGCACAGCATAAAAAAAAAAATATCAAACTCTTAATACTATTGTGTGCCCATAACCATCTGTCACTGCTAGCCTGGAGATGAGAGGAAGATTACGAGGAATAAACACTGAGCCGCCGAGCATTGGTAAAGCCTTCGGGCAAAAAACTCTTGTGGGGACATCAAAGACATTCTAATTCCGAGGCAGTCAAGGATTACAGTGCGTAACCTGTGCTGACAACAGATAAATGACTGGCAATATTGTGCCAGAGCTGTTGGGTCCTGCATGGAGTACTGATGATGATGGTGATGATGATGATGTTATCTTGCAGTATGGACTCTGCTGGGATAATTTTATGATAAAACACTTTTTTTTCCAAATGCCACTGGGTCTAGGCAGACATTTACTAGCTACAGGGGTAGCAATCAGTTTCTTCAAAATTTACTGTTCTAAGCCCATTAGAGTTCCAGCGCAGCCAGGCTTTTCAATGAAAATCTGAAACGCCAATATTTTCATGTCAGGAAAGAAGTGTGCATGCACGCAAATGGTTAGGGGCTCAACTCCGACCATTTAGTGTTAAGGTGCTCCAGCAAATGATTTATGTAAATACGCTCATAAAAATGCAGGAGGGCTTCCCCCCCTCCTTTTATAATTTGATGAATATGAATTAGTAAATTAAGAATTTTAGCTCAGTGCTTGTGTCGCATCCTGATATCTTTGGTCACGCAAAGGCGCACCGCGGGAGAGCCCAGATCATACAGGTAAACACAATAGGCTTTAGGCGACTATTGGGATATAGGATCTCACACACACACACACACACACACACACACACACACACACACAAATACATCATGCACTGCATTAGTGACTAACAGTTTTCTGTGCCTTATTCAGGCATTAACAGATTGAAATATTCCCTTCTGAGGCCGCGGAATGATCTCATTAAACAAACACCAGGTTTTGGTAATTGATGTAATAAGGAGGATGTGGAGGGGCTGTGTAAAAATATTGTCAAAGTGTGCTGTTACTCTTTCAAGATGCTGTACTTTCTCACCACTGTTATCCTTTCATCCATTTCTCTGCACAAAGAAAAATACTTCAGCAGCATTAATCCTATGGAAAATTACATATGCTTCTCATTTTAATAAGTAAAGATGATTTGAAGAAATTAAGGGAAAAAAACCCAACCCAACATTCTGTGCTTCCAGTTCACCCAGTTCTGAATATGACTTAAAATGAAGCAATACCTTATGGTGATATTCCTATGCCAAGATCACTCATTGTTGCTAAGCTCCATTCATTACAAATGAATGGCCTGACCTCAATGTGCTAGCAAACAAATGGTATAGAATCAGGTGCTTCTCTCATCTGCCACTGTAATACTATGACATATTGTTTTTACACCACTGCTGAGGTCATCAGTGCCCTACGGCCAGTACCGGTGACCTCTGCTATACTGTACATGGTGCAACTTAAGGAAACTAGCTGCACTGTTTTGTTTGTTTGGGTATTTCTAGCCCTTCCTGTATAAATAAACCTTGGGGCAGGGTACTGTCAATAAAACTACCCCAGAATAATCTAAAACTGTCCCAGTTTCAAAACAGGTTTAAAAACTAAATGTTCAGGTGAACAGTGGAAAGGTGGTCCCTCAGATATGTACATCTGGAGCCATTTAGAGGTTTGAAGCTCATTCACAGGACCTTGAACTCATACCAGATATGTATTGGCAGGGATCTTGTTGGTTTTGTAAGGTATTCTGCCACCGGTCTAGCTACTGCATATTGCACTTACAGGAGCCTCTGTGTCAACTTCTAGGGCAGTTCCAAACAAAATCTGAACTGCATTAACAATGTAAAGCATGAACTGCTTTCATAGGGCTGTCCCTGTCTGGAACTGGTCATAGCTTGCAGGCCAAGTATAGCTGGTCCCAGTAACTCAAAAGTCATGAAGTTCCAATTAGGTCTTCAGTGACAGACTACTGTATGTTTGTTTGCTCCTTTGGGGAAATAATATACTCTTGAACAAAGAACGGCACACTCCTTCTATTTAGGATGGCCATCGGCTTCCACTGATTTTGCAGCTTTGGGAGGGATGCACATAGAATGGTGAAGGGGACACCCGTCTAGTCAGATTGCCCTCACATCCTTTTTGAGAAAATTCAGTCCCATCCAGAACTGCTTGCTTACCCAGTGTTTGGACATGAAAACCCTTGTGGTGCAGTGGGTAAACTGCAATACTGCAGTTAAAATTGCTCACAACCTCTGTTTGAGCCTAATGGATTCAGATAGGTGACTCAAAGTTGAGTCAGCCTTCTGTCCTTCTGAGGTTGGTAAATTGAGTACCCAGCTCACGGAGTGGTGGTGGTGGCAATGTGTAGCCTCCATAATTAAATTGGTCTTTAAGTATATTCCAAATAGGCCTCTAAGTACTATGGGGCTGTATATAAGCAGCACACTTTGAACTACCAGTCCACAGGACTTCCAGCTTGTTGGGATTCAGCTTCAGTTCCATGATCCTTATCAGGCAGTGTCCAAT